AGAGTCTAGTTTTGCAAACATTTGCACAAATTAAATTGGATTCTTATTCTTATTTCTAACTTTCGTTTGTTCTTATTGCTCCCAAACTTCTTGCCCTCTGCACTTGCTTTTGTTGGCCCTTGGATTCATAAGCTAACACAATTACCAGGGGCTTTTAAACCCAAGGTTCTGGGGTCTTATCAAAGGTATAATCTTCCCAGATTACTTTCTGCAAGGGTACTTTGTTACTCTGAGTTTTGTACTTCCGGATGCCTGAATCTGCTCCACTGAAGCTTAGTCAAAAATTAGTGTTTCCTTTGGTTCTGTTTGCAGCTTTCCAAATAAATTAGAGAGTTTTTACATCTGCAGCTTTACCCTTAATCAACAGTGTCAGTATTGTGGAACTTGAAAAGGGAAAAATGAAAATTTGCACAGCTGTTTTCCTTTTCATAATCACGGCCATTCTGATTTACATAATAATGAATGCCAGGCTGGCATCTTTGGCAGCCGCTCCAGTGACCTCTGAGGGCGGTGATGGAGCAGAAGAAACTCCAGGACCTGGTAGAGGCACAGGTGTAGATGTTCAGCCAGGAAGATGAGACCCATTTTCCATCCCTTGGATAAGCCTTCTTTGGACAAGAGTGGAAGATGTTTTGTTGTCTTGATCCTCCTTCTGAATCTCTTTCCAAAGGGACAAGACTATGGTTGCGATTCTCCAGACTGTAAGAACTATCTGGCATGGCTTTTCTGTGTCTCTCTCGCAGGCGATGGAGGGGGGCATTGAGGGCCTCCAACAGGGAGAAATTAAGCATTTTGTCATGAGAAAGAACTCTGGAAAACTGGCAGTTTGCCTGGCTCAGTAACTTAGGTTTCTTTTCCTCAAAGATGTCCACATAAAAGTTATGAAGTCCACAAAGTCAGGGAGATGATCTCACTGAATAGGCAGTGCCACTTGTATATGACTGAGCCAGCTGGAACTTTGGCCTTCTAGAGCAGAGGAAAGAATATAACAAAATTATGGAGCATGAATGCTGAAATACTGGCTGTTATCCTGCCCATGAATTATCATCATTTATTATGATTGCTGGTTTGGTACTTTATTCAGTACCAAATACTGGTACATGTTGGTACGTTTCTGTCTTCTGCTGGGTACATAAAGGCCCACTTCACAAGCTTTCAAAACAGGAGAATTGATTTTGTGTAAGGGAAAGGCAGACATGGAAAAATAAGTGTTCACTGGAGAAATGAATAAAATCTTAGTCCAGCATTTGGATCTAATTAAAAACTAGCCATTTATTGCTCGCCCTTCAGATTTTTTTCCCCCCTTTACAAAAGAACTGTGGCTTTGACACTTCCAGCACAAGAAGCAAAAGACCAGCCCCTCACTGCATCCCCACAGCTTGCCTAGCGTGTTTATTTTGAAGATTTGTCGCAGTTGATGTCTGTCGCAGTTCTGCATACATGCTTTTCGGTGACAGTCTTGTCATTCTAACAAATTACTCATCTTCCTGGCCACAGCAATCTGAGAAGTGCCTATATTAAATAGAACAGGGCATGATTAAATTCTTTCTAATCTCAGCTGTGAAACTCATGATAGGCCATAAAGGTGGAGTTCCAAAATTTTGAATGCTCATCCTGCAATGTAATATAAATTAAGGTGTCATTTTTAGGATGTGGGACACCCTTTTAACAGGCAATTTTAATGTGTGCCCCTGCTCCCATTGGCAGGGGCCTGTTGTTATAGAGGTGGCTGCTCCTCTCTAGATAACCCAATCTAACATATTTAGCCTATTCTAATCTTATTTAACATATCTCCACCCCTGGAGCAGGACAGACAGAGGAATTATAGAGAGGGAAAGAGGCTGAGATACAATTGGAGAGGAACCGTTTGTCTCAAACACATTCAGATTTGGGGAGGGGGCACTTATATCAAGTCTGAAAACTCCTGATCTGAAAAGTGGGGGTGAATATCGATCCCCCATCCTGACACACACACCCCGCCGCTCTGCTGAGTTCCCTGCACCATTCTATCCTCCGAGGCTAACATTGTCTTCAATTCTGCTCTGTTTTCTTGCCCATCTAGCTAGTTCTTTCTTAACGTGGACCTTAGAGCATTAGTGACAACTCCACTCTGTCGTAGCTTTTATTTTAACTTAGATTACTTGCTGCCTTTACGGTCTGGGTGCTGTGTTAGGGAATTCAGAGTCCTGCAGAAGCTGTGCTATCCGCCATAAGCAAAGATTTAGGAAGACAGGGGAGGTCTCCCTAAGAGAGAGGTCGCATCCAAGATTTACTTGGACAGTATGGTGTATCTTTTGTTTTGCCGGTTCCCAGTGCTTTGCAGTATACTGTGGCAATATGGAAAGGCAACATCACAGTTAAAAATGTGCCAGTATCTTGAAAACCCACATTTGTGTCCCAATTTCTGTCTCCTTCTGCTCTAGTCAATATTATTGATCTCGCTGTGCCACTGGATCTGCTTAATTACGCTCAATATTAGAATATCGTATTCATGACTCAATGACTTTGTGGAATGCCTTTGTCTACATCCAAAATTCTAAAAACTTCTAGTCTCGCATGATTTCGGGCATTTCCAGCATTGCTTGTTATTGGCCTGCGCACTGAGCATTCTTGATTGAAATTCCTATAATTGCTGACCCCCACAACACACACACACACACACACACACACACACACACACACATTTTTCTTAGTGAAACATTGTGTAGCTGCTTCAAGGAATTAGGGGGTTGCTGTCCCTCTTAATTCCTTAACCATTTAATGTTTTGTAATATTGGCATTTATTTTGCCTTATTGAAGACACTGTTGGTTTAGCGTGAGCTCTGTCACACGTGAAGGTGGAGACATGGGGGTTAGCTAGGCCTTCTTAAAGGCCTCATAGCAGAAACACCTGCTACCTGTATGTAGATGTTCCCAGGTTTGTTCTCTGGCTCCTGCCCCTGACCCCAGAGAGACATTCACAATCAGAATAGGCGATACAGGGATGAATGTCCATATAGAATGACTTTACATAGGAAATCCTCCTACGGTTCTCTGAAAGCTGACATGATTTGTGCTAATCCTGTGCTCAGAGTGAGGTTAATTGTTCCTAAGTTCATTAAGTGAGACCAGTTCACAGTGGCACTTTATACTATCCAGTTTTCCTTGGCAATCTTTTTTTTTAAATAAAAGTTATACAGCATAAGGTTTTTTGGCCACAGAAGTAAGCGTAGGTTCCATTTTCAGATACTTCATCATTCTGCTCCTGTTAGCCACTGCATTGCTCTTTTGTTTATTAACTTTTCATTTTCACTGAACTGAATATAATTGCAATTTCCACCTGGCACAAATAGCTAAGCGGAATAAAACTGGGCACAGGCCCAAACCAGAATGCAAAAATGGAAGCTCAGGATATGAATGAAAGAGAGCAGTCTTCCTTGCATCCAACCTTTTGCCTGCTGGCATAAATCCTCAGTCCCACCACTCAGGCCTAATTCTCCGATCCAGCACAGTAGCAATGAAAAAGAGCCGACCCAGGAGCCGTGACTTGACTGCTAGAAATATGTTCACATATTTCTGCAAATAGAAGCATTTATAGATTACAGCGTTTTTGGTGTAACTTTAAATGGCCGCAAGGCAGTGGCAGGCAAGCCTGCTTCTTGCACTTCGGCCAATTCACGTCTTGGCGGCCCCTAACCAGTCAGCTGTGGGAATTGTGGAGTGTTCAGTCTCTCAGCAGAACTCTTTGGAATCATTGTTTGGAAAATGCAGTAGGTGCCATCGTGTGTAAAGCAGCTCTGTGTGGAAAGCCCATTACCTCGGATGAGGAGATTATACTGTCAAGGACTGTCTACAGAGGTTCGGTTGTGCAAATCCTGACACTTGCTTCCATTGACCTGGTTCAAAGAACCCAAGAACGCACCCTGAAGGGTTCTTTGCAGGCCGAAGAGAACTGTGGATTTTCTCTTACAATCTAAGACGAAGTGAAAAAGAGTTGTGGTTATCCTAAAAATAAATTGGAAGTTTTCAGTAGCTTTTTAAGTTTCAGAAGATCAGAAAGTCAACCGTGCATTAAATGTGTGAAAAGTTTTAACAGTTCCCCTTTGCCCTGATGTGTGTTCCTTCCATCTCTCTCTCTAAAAGTGTGTCTCACCTCAGGGGAATACAAAGATGGTTTTGACTTAGGAAAGGGGTGCTACGGAGTAAAGGAAAGTGTGATGTGTCATGGCTAGCTACAGAAACACCATTCTGCCTACAAGCTCCCCTCCATCACACTATTTTCCATTAATTGCAGTGTAATTTTTACACCTCTCCTATCTTATTGTTTAACTTGAGATGCTTGAGCACTCCTTGGAGAACACAGATGAAAAAGAAAACATGCCACATAAGAATTACAATTAGGCGTGGCTTATGCAACACCAGTGTGCTTTCGGTGTTTCGTTTTTAGCCAATTTCAGTTCCTAATTCTCACAGATCCTTGAAATGGCCTATAGGCAGATTCCATTCCATGGCTGCTACAAAAGAATTTCAGAGCTCTTTTTCTCCCTACTTAAAAGTAGCAGTTTAGCTGGGGACCAGGAAGTCCCTGGTTGAATCAAGCTCCACTGATGGACTTACTAAGTGACCTTAAGCAAGAGAGGAAACATCTGTCCCTTCACTCCATCGACAACATGGAAAGCAGTCTTGACCTTCTTCGCAGGGTTGGTTTGTTTTTATGACTGGGTTTATTTTCCAGAGTTGTTCTAAGGACTCTAGCCCTGGATTTGAAGTGTTCTGTACACTGCAAAAGCCCTATCTAAATGCACAATCTTAAAATATGTTCATAAATTTAGGGTCCAAACCATCCTGAGCCGTCCTGAGATCTTGTATAATAGGACGGCATACAAAAGCATTTAATAAATAAATAATAAACAGACAGACAGCTGGGGATCACCTAATTGGATGGTCATGTAGCGAAAATGCATTATTCCAAAGGCCACAGGCAATGTATTAATTATGGCATCTTTTGCATCGTATTCTAGCGGGACAGTTGAGCCAATCTGCACACTTTGCCCTCCAGCTGCCATATAATGTGTTGGGATTGGGACGCAGTGCCAATTTCCTGGATCACTTGTTTGTTGGCATTCCTCGACCACTGGATGAAAAGGTATGTGTAAACCACAGTTTCCATATTTAGCATCACTAGGGTTCTTACTCCAGTCAGAATCACACTGGATTCAACTCAGTGATACGGGAGGGTCATTTTGTGGATGAGGGGGCCGACCTGGCTTGCATTACAGAGACCTGGGTGGGAGGGGGGATGTCTCCGTCTCAGCTGCGCCTGCCTGGGTACCTGGTCCAGCACTGACCACGCCTGGAGGGGAAGGGAGGGGGGTCACTTTGGTTTACCAAGCCTCTGTTTCCCTCATGGGGCTTCCTGTTCTTTCGAGGCCGGGTCTAGAGTGCCTCTACTTGGTGTTGGGCGACCCAGACAGACTGGGGATTCTGTTGGTGTACCGTGCACCCTTCTGCCCAACTGACTCCCTGCCTGAGCTGACGGAGATCATCTCGGATTTGGTGTTGAAGACTCCCAGGATGTTGGTCCTGGGCGACTTCAGTCTCCACGCCGAGACTGTTCCGACCGGGGCAGCTCAGGACTTCATGGCCTCCATGACGGCCATGGGGCTGTCTCAGCATGTCACTGGCCCGACCCATGAACCTGGACACACTCTGGACCTGGTTTTCTCGACGGGACAGGAAGAGGGGGATCTGAGGGTGAGGAACTTGTGTCTGACACCCCTGTCATGGTCAGATCACTTCCTCGTGAGGTTTGAACTCGAGAGCTGCCTTTCCCTCTGCAAGGGTGCGGACCCGATTGTGTTGGTCCGCCCCCGGAGACAGATGGATCCGGATGGATTCCTGAAGGCCCTGGGGGAATTTCCGGTTGATAAGGCTGGTGCTCCTGTCAATGCCTTGGTCGAACTGTGGAATGGGGAAATGACCAGGGCTATTGACACAATCGCTCCTAGGAGTCCTCTCCCGCCTGGCAGTGCCCATTCATCCCCCTGGTATACACCCGAGCTACGGGCGATGAAGCGGGTTGGGAGACGTCTAGAGCGTAGGTGGAGGAAATCACGGGATGAATCTGACCGAACACACTTAAGAGCCCATTATCGGGCCTATGCTGTGGCGGTGAGGGTGGCGAAGAAGAAATTCTTCTCCGCTTCCATTGCCTCCTCACAATGCCATCCGGCGGAGCTCTTTCGGGTGGTACAGGGGCTGGTTCATCCAGGCCCAAAAGAAGATCCCGTGCCACCCTCTACAGCCCACTGTGACAACTTTGCATCGCTCAGATTCGTCACGAGCTGGACTCCACTAGTGACTCAGAACCTTCGGGGGAGGTGCCAATGTTGCCGTCTGGTCCACAATTGATGGATGAATTTCAGTTATTGCGGCCTGATGATGTGGACAAGGTGCTTGGACAAGTACATCCCACCACTTGCCTATTGGACCCTTGCCCATCTTGGTTAATTAACAACACCAAGCACGGGATTGGGACCTGGATCTTGGAAGTGGTTAGCGCTTCTCTGAGGGAGGGTCGGGTACCTGCCCATTTAAAGGAGGTGGTAGTCCAACCGGTCCTGAAGAAAGCGTCACTGGATCCAGAGGTGGCCGCCAATTATAGACCAGTGGCCAACATCCCGTTCTTGGGCAAGGTGTTAGAGCGGGTGGTGGCAGAACAACTCCAAGCACTCTTGGATGAAACTGATTATCTGGATCCATTTCAGTCCGGCTTCAGACCCGGGTATGGCACTGAATCTGCCTTGGTCACCCTGTATGATGACCTGTGCAGGGAGAGAGACAGGGGGAGTGCGTCCCTGTTGGTTCTCCTGGACCTCTCAGCGGCTTTCGATACCATCGACCATGGTATCCTTCTGGATAGGCTAGCGGGACTGGGAGTTGGGGGCACTGCTCTGCGGTGGTTCTGCTCCTATCTCAATGGCCGATTCCAGAAGGTGGTGCTGGGAGACTATGGCTCTGCGTCATGGCAGTTATGCCATGGAGTTCCACAGGGGTACATTTTTTCCCCCTTGCTATTCAACATCTACATGAAACCCCTGGGAGAGGTCATCCGGAGGTGTGGGCTGCAGAATCATCAGTACGCTGATGATACCCAGCTCTACCTCTCATTTTCAACCAATCCAGGTGAGGCAGTGGCTGTACTGAACCAGTGCCTCGTCGAGGTAATGGGCTGGATGAGGGCCAATAAACTGAAGTTCAATCCAGACAAGACGGAGGTTCTGTTGGTGGGTGGTTCAGGCTTCGGGATGGGGGACTTGGGCCTTGTCCTAAACGGGGTTGCACTCCCTCTCAGGGACAGGGTTCGCAGCTTAGGAGTGCTCCTCGACCTTGAGCTGTCTTTAGAAGATCAGGTGACGGCGGTGGCGAGGAGCACTTTCCTTCAGCTTCAGCTGTTCCATCAGCTGCGTCCCTTCCTGGAGAATGACTGCCTGGCGACAGTGACACACGCGTTGGTGACTTCCCATCTTGACTTCTGTAACGCGCTCTACGTGGGGCTACCCTTGAAGACGGTCCGGATACTTCAATTGGTTCAAAATAGAGCTGCCAGGCTGCTGACGGGGACTGGGCGTTATGTTCACATGACTCCAGTCCTCCGTCAGCTTCACTGGCTTCCCATTGAAGTCCAGGCCCAATTCAAGGTGTTGGTGATGATCTATAAAGCCCTAAACGGCTTGGGTTCTGGCTACCTGAAGGAACGCTTGCGTCCATATATGCCCTCCCACCCCTTGAGATCAGCAACAGATGCCCTTCTCCGGGAACCCTCTGTGAATATTAGGAGGGTGAGTACCCAGAGGAGGGCTTTCCCTGCGGTGGCGCCCCACCTATGGAATGTGCTCCCCAGAGAGGTCCGCCTGGCGCCATCATTATTTGCTTTTCGGCGCCAGGCCAAGGCCTTTTTATTTAAAATTTATTTTAATTGTTAATTTATGAATTGTATTTATTGGGTTTTTATGTGCATGCCGAGATGTTTCCAGTTTTTTAACTCTAATTATATAACTGTTTATGTTTATAAATGGTTTAAATAGATAGATAGATAGATAGATAGATAGATAGATAGATAGATAGATAGATAGATGTGGCTTTCACAGCTCAAAAACTGTAATTTTCAGTCCTAATTTTCTGACTAAAAGCATCTGGTGAACAAGCCCAATGGAATGCTGGTGGACCCTTTTCCTACAAGTGCCACCTGTAACGATGGCATCACTCTTACCCAGTCTGCAAAATTTGGAATTTTGGGGGGACAAGCAGGGAGCAGAAGCAGTCTTTCAATATATGGAAACATAATACCAGCCAACTTTGAGATGTTGCTTTACTAGGATTATCCTAGAAGACATTCACTATGTGCTTTCGTTTCCATTGCTCTTTCAGTCTCCAAGAACACAGGAATGGACAGCCATCATCCCGAACTCCCAGCTTATAGTAATTCCGTATCCTCCCAACCTCCCTCGAAGGTAAAGCAATATACTGACACAAATTAAATCCTGCTGGATAGATCATAATAGCTGTTTATTTGAAGAATAGTTCAGCTAAGGGCAAATGGTGCCAGACTATTTTTTTTTTTTCCTTTTACAAAAATCCATACATGCATGAGTAGAGATCAAAATATTTTTTCTTCTTCTGTGCAATCACTTTCCAAGAAACCAGTCTGCGTTGCTCTGCAAAGAGATACCAAGTTGTAGCTCTCTCTCTCTTTTGCATGTTGACGTGAGCCTCCTAGTTAGAGTATTACTTTATACATACAGAGAGGTTATGGCCTGGTTTCCCCATAGCAACTGTTTTGAATATTCGTTGTGTGAACCCAGCAAGGGTGGGATCTTGGGCTGTTCAACAACGTACCCATAAACCTGAAAGAGCCCCTGGATTCTGGCTGGCTTGTCACCCAGCCCACCAACTCGTCCTCACATCAACCTGCAGGTCATGTTGAGCTACAGTACACATACACGCACAGCTCAAATATTCAAAATGGCAGCCAGAACTGGAAAAAGAGACCCCACGGGGGAACATTGCCCATGGTGACTTTTTTGCATCATGTGTGAATTTTATAGAGCACAATTTATATTGTCCAGTATTGTGGTGCTGAAGCCGTGGGCAGTGGTTGTCTAAGCTGGTCAGAAGGGATCCGCTGTCCTGTCTGAACAGCCCAGAAATTAGACGTTGCAGAGCAAAAGAAGTGGGGCTTTGGGAAACTCATAGCCTCCGACTGTAGCAAGCTAAGGCATGCTGGGAGGGTTAGATTAGGGCCGGAATTAGAGTGATCCTTTATGCACCACCAAAAAGGAGGGTGAAGGAGAAAGGACAAAACTGGATGTTGCTTTCTGAAAATTGGGTGTTGGTTTCTGTAAAAATTGCACTGGCATTCTCATCATATGAACGGATGCAGTGTAGTAACAGTTGCTCCAATTTGACCAGTAACAGTTCCTCCCGCCCAGTGACCTACCTGGCTGCTCCATCTGCTGTTTTAGTGCTGCTGATGAGCAGCATCTCCCAGGCCCTGCTGGATTCTTTATCTTCAGGGTTTCTCTGGTAGCCCTGGGGCTCTTTATCTTTAATCCGGCCTGGGCTTCAATCAAAGGATGCCTTAAACAGAGGACTGCCCTCCAACAACTATGCCAAGCACTCTGTAAATGCCAACATGTGACCACCCTAGCTGGAATGGGAGTGAAACAAAAGGCATGAAGGAAACGTCTGGGCGGATTTTAAAAAGAACTGGGGGAGAGTAGGCAGGAGGGATCTATGCAGTATGTGCGTCGGAGCTGCAGAGGTGCAAGTTGTACGCTGAATTAAAATAACCAGCTCTCTGGCTGCCAATGTCGGTAAAGCGATGCAAGACCTTTGGGACAGCAGCGGAAGTTTCCTGTGGATAAACTGCCTTTTGAATGTTTCAAGAATGCTTGAAATCTGACGATAGGTACAGAATTCCATAAAAGGTTCCTCAGTAAAACCATTTCTGGAATTGTTGTTTTTCCCATCAAGTAACAACCATAATTGTGGAGCCATCGGTTTCAGGAGACATGTGCATGTCCCCAGTGAAGTGTGAAAATATTCTATTCAGATTTCTGACACACGGTATGTGTTGCCATGGATCTCTAACTTCTCCTTTAACCAGGAGCGAGAAGCTTGCTTAAAGCAGAATTTCCACGTTAAAATCCACTCTGGGCAGTTTTTTCTCCTGTCCGTTCCCGTTCCACTTACATGGTGTTCCAGATTTCCGGTGTTTCCAAGTGACGTACAACAGCAGAGAAACAGTCCCAGAGCTACAGTCATAAAAGTAAAAACAATAAAATTCCTAACACTATGCAACTTACCTTTCAAATGGACTGCATGCAGCACATGGTATGTAACTGGGTTGATACTGAAGCACCACTGTGAGGTTAACAACCATTTTTATTTGGCCATGAACAATCCATCATAGCCTGAAGAGGTAAAACAGGTTGTAAACAGCCATTCCCTGGTCACCAGTGGCATGTAAGCGTTGCCTCCAGAGGCACCAAATATCCAATTTCCTTTAACTGGACACAGGCAAGCCAGGTGGGCAAGCAAAACACTTTATGAGCCTGTAACTCATGTGACACTTACTTACAAGTGCTGGGGCGGGGAGGAAATGTGAAACGTCTGCGTCGAGCTTCTCTTCCTCTGTGAAAAGAGAAACGAAGGAATCGCTAGATTGTTAGCCTGGTTTTGTCCCTTACGAAGGTGGCATATGCGGACACACAAGCATGGATTCCTCAGCCCAGAAGCCCAGAAGAAAGAGAAACAATCCGAAGCCTCCTCCCCTTTTGGAGCGGAAGCTAAGATACACGTGGCCCTGCAGATGCTGCCGGGGTGTAACAGGGAGGCGGGAGGATGGCGCTGGCACTGATGAGAGGAGCAGCGCGGTTTTTCTCCTCTCTTTCCAGGCAGCTCTTTAAGTCGCCAGCAAGCCATGATGAAGTCACACTGCCAGGTTCAGACTTCACAACAAGCCCCCCGACTAACGCAGCAAGCATGGGCCATCAGGGTGCCTTGCCTGTGGAAAACAGCCCACGACGAAAAAGCTGTCCCTGGCTTGCACATTGCATCCGGCTCCTGAAGCAGGCCACTGCAGTTCACCCTGGCGTGCAGAAAGGGTCCTGTCTGTCTGTCTCTCTCTCTCATCCTCCCCCCTCCCCACAAAAAAGCAATATTTCCAATTCTGCTTTCACATAAAAAGTTAACCAAACAAGAAAAACAAAACCTGGGCTGATTATTTGCTTATCTTTCGCACGAAGCATTTGACCTGGAATCCACTAGTAAATATTGATCTACAGTTCCCTTGGCAGAAGTGATTCCTTGCACCAAAAATGCATGGTCAGATGGAAGGAAGTCAGCTCGTGGAGCAGAGTCTAATTACTGGACAGATTATTGAGGGAAATGACCTGTCATTGCACTTGCAGGGAAGCAGGATGAAGCTGCTGCTTCTCATGGAGCTTTGTACTTCCCTCTGCATCAGGATGGCACTTACAAATGTGAAGTGAAGGAGCAATTTACATGTCAATAGTGCCACTGTGTCACTGATGTTCAGGCAAGCTTTACAGCTTATGAGCCAGGGCTTTGATCATGTTTCCCTACAAATTAGAAAGAGTTGATCCCATTTTGGCACAAACCTGGTTCTACAACACAAGAGCGTCAACCTTGAAGGCTTCCTAGAAAGGCGCAGCTGCAGGAGCAGCTTGGCTTTTGCACGAGGCAATGCAGATCCACTTCTCTTAACACACACCTGTACAGTGCAAGTATATACTTCCCTGTACAGTAAATACACACCATGTGAGATGCACAAAGACAGTTGAGCTCATTGATTGTCACAAATTGTAAGACTAAAAATAAAACCTAAGCAGCCACAAACCAAGGACTAAATCCTAGGCCTCAAAGCAAGGCTTACTGTGTCTGGCACTTGGACACTGGACTGCTCCTTCCATCCAAGCAGCAATCCTAGACACTGCAGTTCTGGAACCAAGGGGAAATTGCTCTCCCGGAAATGCGTGTGAAGAATTTTCGAGATCAGGAGGAAGTGGAACCTCTGTAGATGGCTTGTGGCGCACCTTAAATCCTCTGAGCTTCGCAGAAAATTTTTCCAAGGATGCAAAGGATGATGCAAGAAGGAAGGCAATGAGAGTTCAACTTCAAAGTTAACATTATCTGTTTCAGCCACGCCTGCGTGCCATCCCTGTTCTTCCCATATCAGAAGTGTTGCTTGGCTGTACAAAGACTTTAAAAACAGGCAAAGTCTTACCTTTAAAATATAACCCCAAGCCTCACTCCATGTATGTTTGTGGCTTCACAGTCACCAGCTTTCTGAAGAGTTGAAGGATAAGAACATAATACCAAAAAAAAAAAAAAAAACCATCCAAAATGTATAATTGTGCAAAATACAGTATTTAATAAATAGCCATTATTTCACAACCCATGAGGGCTAGGAATATACCCATAGAGTCACAGGACTAAGGCCACTAAACTGTGATTTGATGTGGTCCAGAGGTCAGATCGAGGCTGAATTCCCGGTGCATGCAAAGGGCAAGGAAGGTGATGGAAAGACTGGGACAAATTTAAGAGTTCATTCTCCACCCAGTCTCCATCTTTCCATGTCATACAGGTAGAAGAATAGCAAATCAGTTTTAGAAATACTGTAGATAATGACAGTTGTTGGATAAAAGATACCGTCTGCACAAGATGTCCACTAAATATGTTATACCTTTCCTACTGCTGACCCCCATGTGAAAATATCTAAAAGCATTCAGTTAACTCCATAATCTGTAAGCTACTATATGAGAATCATGAGAGAGAAGGTTACAACATCTCATTTAGTCAAAGCAATCCAGTGAACTGTGAAATGGCTCTTTTTAATTAGCTACAAGTATATGCTGGTACTGATATTTTAAGAGGTTTTGGAGTAATGCCACTTCTTCCTACAAATAAATGTTTAGCCATTAATGATGCCTTCTGAAGGAAGGCTGTCCCAAATTTATGCATCATATAAAGCTCGTATTGATTTCAGTTTTTAGCCTGTTTCAAGATGTATTGACCAGAGGAGCTGACCTCAGTGGTCAATAGATCTTTATTATAATCCCAAAACAAAAGCACACTTGTTGTTTCTTAGAGAGACCATTATTTTATTAATCTTTGAAATCAACCTGCTGTGCTTGAAAAAGTTGAAGGAGTGTTTCTGTATGATCACATGGAAATTGAAAGTCGTTACACAGTGGGGAGTGCTGGAAGTCAGTCTGCCACCTGCTTACTCTGGAGTAGTAACAGGACTCAAATGACTTGGAAACGCTATAGAACGGGTTCCTACTTTCCTAAAGGCATTCGTTCAAAACCTGTGCTGCACTGCTGTCTCCTCCTTCAGCAGGATACCGGATATTCCCTGGATACCGGATTCAGCTTTGCCTCTTAGTTCTTGAATAGCCTCGGTGCCACTTGGAAGATAGGAAATCCTGTCATAAAGAATAAACTCTCTTTAAAATTATCTAGCAAAGAAATGCCAAGCGACTTGGGGAAATGAAAACATGCCAGTTCTAGTCATTTTCAGACTTGGTGCAGTTAATTAAACAGTGAGCGAGTTTGCACACAGAGGCAGCAGGTTGAGAAGCAGTGGAACTGGATTTCCCTTCCTCTCTGTGCTGGTCAGACTTGCAGGCTTCCCATAGGGTCTGAACCCAAGTGACATGGCTTGTTCCTGGGTTCAGGGATGGCAAAACAATATCCAAAAGGATTTTTTGAGTGCTCATCACGATACTACACTCTGGATTCCACTTTCCATGAATGGAACAGCTAGACTTCCTTTTGCTGAAACACATTAAGTTAAATCAATATCAAACAGCCTGCGCTCGGAGAAAAGAGCAAGATGACACACGATGAGCTCGATGCTGTCTTGAAGCTGTACATCGACTTGCTATTTATGAACTTCCAATAATCAATCGAGCAATTTGCCAAGCAGTTAAAGATACACTGCCATGGCACTTCCAGTCCTTTTATATTTTTGATTCCCACACAGATAAAGAATTCATGGGTAAAACAATTTCCCTATAGTAAGATTTCTGGATTCCGGAGTCCATTCACTAGTTCAGCCATACCTGAGATAAAAAGATACTCACAATCCAAATTTCACATACCGTGATGCACCTGCCGCCATGGGAATTTGAAGCATAGCAATGAAGCCTGAAAAGTGGCATTGATAAGAATAAAGTTGCCTTTCTTTCTTTTGGTAGGTATACCCCATATTCTCTGTTGAGGCTTCTGAAAGAGCTTTTACTACAGTATAAATTTCTGCACATAAAGAATCCAGTTAAATAAAAGCTAGAAAAATACGCCTCTCAGCCTCTCCCTGTATGGATTCACATCAGGGACAGTTCCTTCTTTCCTACCTACAAACTAAGAGTGATCTTCTCTCCCTGCTACCTGCTATCACCCAGATCTTTTCATTTTCTCCATTTATTGTCTCTGCTTCCAAAAGTGAACATCAGCCTAGCAGTGAGTCAACACATGAAAACGCGAGTCGAAATGTTACTCTGACATGACAGATGACAGTCGGGAAGCAGAGAGATGACACGGTTAACTCCCGTATCAAAAATGGCAATAGTCATGCATCTTTTTACATTCCGTTTTCACGCACGCACGCACACACACGGGGGGGGGGGGCTCCTTCCCTCCCTCCCTCTCTAAATCTCTTTCTCTTGTTGTCAGCTCTGTGGGCAAGAGTGCTGATGTTTTCTTGAATCCCCCTCTTTCTTCACAGCTGGAGTGCCAAGCTGTACCTGACTCCAAGTAACATCGTGTTGCTAACCGCAATCGCTCTAATTGGGGTCTGCGTCTTCATCCTGGCAATAATTGGCATTTTGCATTGGCAAGAAAAGGTACGCTTGATTAGCTGGAAATGTTTGTCTTTCTTACCACACATTCAGACAATAGAACATTCTGAAATAAACTCTGCATTGTTCCTTTCTTTTTCATTACCTTTTCAACTTTGGGAAAAGTTACCATTTTAACCAGGATGGCTTCGAGTCCTTTTCTCACTAAGCCACTGGGGAAATATTGGTGTGTAATGCTTGGAATCCCAACTTCCTGGCAGAGTGGGCAGAGGCTCCCAAATCTTCACTCGGAAAAATGCTGGCCAGCAGGACCGAGAAAGAGCGGGGCCAGAAACCTGGGGAAGCCACTGCCTGTCAATCTGGACAGTGCTGGGTTTGATACGCCCTTGACCTGCCGCTACCAGCAGGTCTAGACATAGGTTTTGTGGCCTCAAGTTTCAGCCTGGAGAAGAAGAGCATGCAATTGTGTCAATGGATCATGCATTTTTCATTCTTCTCAAGAGAGAATCTTGCTTTGCATCATCTACTTCTGTGGGAATTACCCGAAAGGGAGTTGTCTCATTTCTGTATCATTTATGCATGTGCCTGTGGAAATACACCAGTTTTCCTTTGCTCTGTTCTCTCTCCAGGGCTATTATAAGAATAGGGCAGTGCCCAAGACGTGCATCTTGGCTAAGACTGACTGATTGATTGATTGATTGATTGATAGCATTTCACCCCATCCTTGACAGGTGTCTCATGAGACAGGGATAACAGGTCACTCACAGGCCTGCTGTAGTGGGACCGCCACTGAAAATTGTAAAGATACGCTGCTTTTTAGCACAGCTGTAAGAAGATAAAACAGGGCAGAAACTTGACTTTCATTTCTTTCCATGCTGGGAATGGGTTACCACTCCTCCCTGCCTAAACTTTACCTTTCCGGTGCCAAAGAGGAATTTCAACTGGCTATCCATGCCAGCTCATATGGGAGGAGTTAAAACAACCTTCCCATGCCAGTATCAGCCAATGTCATGTTCTCTCAGAAAAGCTCTGGCTTATATTAGCTCATCTGTTGGTGTCTGCCTCCTCTTTTCTTCCATTAGCAATGGACAGTGTCTATGGGACAGTGTCCCGTAAGATCAAGCGGATCACAGTTTTAATGCTGCTCGGTATTTTTTTGCACCCAGCAAATGGAAAACTAGCAGAATATGGCAGCATTAGAACCTTTCTCCCCAGTGGACTAAATTTTTATTTGCGCTAAGCGGAGGACTATGTATCCACCTTCTGCATCGTGCAGCGGTGCAGGCGCTTCTGCCACCTTCTGTTTTGGGGTGGAGGGGACAAAAGTAACTGTGCCTTAAAGCGTTGTTAATGGGAAGCGCCTGCACGACCACAGACCTGGATACCTCGCTCTGCCTACAGTTTAGCTGAAACGTTCCCAGAACAATGTGGCTTTGTCAGTGTATGAAAATTAACTGCCCCCTCCACCCCGTCCCTTTTTCCATTGGGCTACAATACAAAGGGATTTCATCCCCTTGAATTGTATCCTTGCTGAAGTTTTTTATTGACAAGCTTCCAAAGTGCAGTATTTTAGCATGAGCAAAACTGACTGTTCTACTCTATAGAAATGCATTGATCTGCAGAAGCCCTTTGAAAAGCTTCTTTTCATGCCACCAAAGAAAAGTGTGTCCCAGTTTCTCCATTCACAGCTAACAGACAGCAAGGTAGCCAATAAGCCCCACTACCTAGCCAAGCCATAATTATGACTCAAAAATTATGGCATTTTAGACTTGCTGTTTTCCTGAAAAAAGAAGCTCATGTTAAACATTTCGAAAGGTTTTGCACACTTGAAAATTAGTAAGGCTGATGTCACAAAATCAGGCGAAATAGTAACAAGTACTGAAGGCTGGAGGCGCAAACCAAACAATTAAATACTCACAATGGCATCTGACTTGGCGCGCGGGAGCAGATGAGCCCAGCGGTGGTTTTGCGGCTGGGGAAATCTCTCACTCCTAAACTCTGAAATGAATCGTGACCCCTAACTAAATTATGGCCGTTCCCTGAAATTGGGAGGACATGTTAATGAACAGAAAAGTACATTCGATCATAGAAGAGCAGATCGCCATTGAATGTGATTCCCTGCTCGGTGCAGGACATTTTTTGAAGAACCATGGATAGATGCAAAAAAAAAAAAAAAAAAAAAAAAAAACCCTATGAAAATATAGGTGGAAATTGAGATTTTTGAGGAAGATGGCATCTGGGATGCCTCAACACTACTTAAAATACTTGAAATCACTTTCAAACTGATATTTTTGCCCAAAGGTAGTTCAAATTAAGAACAGTTTAAATAACATCTTTTAATCCTGCATGTGAGAATTAAGGTGCAACAGAGAAAGAAAGCCATTTAAACCTTCCCCAGAACCATCTGGCTTTTAGATTTCAGTCTTAAATGGAAAGGTCTCGCTGGCCACCCCTTCACAATGCACGCAAGAGAAAGAACGCAACTGGCTGGGAACCACTAGAGCAAAGTTAGGGTTCGGAAGACGCGGCATGTGATGCTGCGTGAATTTGCTGGCATAGCAGGTGGGGAGACGGCATCTCTCAGACTGAGAGGTGTCAAAGCCTTCCGTGATGCTACTGCCAAGAAGCCCGAGTGCAATAGCACCATAAAGCAGCGCTGTTTTCTCTGAAAGATAAGAGCCTAGCAGTAAAATCCAGAAGGGCCTCGTTAATTCATCCAGAAGCCCCAGCGTGCCCTTAGAGGGCGAGAACAGCTGGTCAGATAACAGGAAGGTAAGTGAGGCCATACTGCTCATAAAATACCATGAGACATGGCATGTCCCTTCCCATATCAGATTTCTGCTTGGCTATCGTTATGTTTGTTCTTTGTTTATTAAACCTAGAAAGCAATGTTTAGAGGAATTTTTGTGCCAGACAGATGGTTCTAGGAATACAGAAGGCAGCAGATTGCATCTGAAGACACATGTGGGCCGAGGCAGAGACTGAAACACGCTTTTAGCTTTTGTTGCTCTTTGTTGAGAGCATGTACCTGTCGGATTGGACATGCTCACAAATATTTATCTTCCCGGGGAAGACGTTCTTTTCCCGTACTTTGAAATGTTTCTAAACCAGAGCTGGAGGGAGCACTGCTTTGGAACTTCCCCGCAGACCTCTGCCTGCAGATAGAGTGCAGATGACAAGGAGGCTTTGTTTCCCTAGCCAAGCATTTGATGGACAAACACACTTGTCCATTAATAATAAAAGGATCATTGTTCGTCCAGCAGCTATTCTGAGAAGACTCGTTCCTCTAAAATGGCACCTGCGCAAGCACTCACTGCGGAAGCTTTTAGTAAGCCTTCCTCTAACGTGGTAAATAGCAAGTAATTCCATGATTCGGTGACCGCAGTAGTCAGACCGCGATGTGGCATCCCTTGTAGCTGTTTGTTTTCTTTGCTAAAATATGTATTTCTGTTTTCTAGAAAGCAGATGACAGAGAGAAAAGACAAGAAGCCCACCGGTTCCATTTTGATGCTATGTGACAATGCTTTGAATCGCTTGGTGAAGGAGCACCCGCTCGGTCTAAGATATATTTGAGCCTAAAAGGGCTACAGGAAGAGGGCATTGTCACTGTGCTATTTGTAAATGCTGTATTGTTTTAATTTATTTGTAAAGTGTTAAAATCAACCCTATCTCACATGGCCTTCCAGTAATTGGTTGTATATATTTACACTTTTCTCTTTATTTAACAAAGCAGTAAATTCTGCTCCACTGGTGGGTTCATACTGCATGCATTCCATTGTTTCCATCAGCTCACTTTCTTCTGTACAACGTTTCATGAAAAAGAAGTTATATGTAAATTGAAAGTGAGTTCCAGTGAGCAAAATCCTTTTAGTGCCACTTGAGTAAGTCCTGTCACATATACATTCCCAAAATGTGAATTGCATTTTTATAATTTAGTCTCTAGCAAATTGTCAGGTGAAACAAGACAGCTCCTATTATTCTGACTGTACTCCAGGGTGTTTCATCTGAAATGCTCTGGATTGCTTATTTTTGTATTAATCTTTGCATCCAATCAAGTGAGGGGAAAAAACTTTAAATTGGAAGATGAAAACACTTGAATAACTATTAATGTATAAAATTTGGAAATGCATGTACATAATTCAATGTTTTAAATTAGACCTTTCTAAAATCAAGTAATTTTTCCTTATCCTTCACAGTAACTATCATACAATTACACTGAAGCTTAATCATGAAAACGTTTGTCCAGGAAGACTAAGTAAGCGCTTGAAAAATGGATGGGAGAGAAATGTCCAAGGGAAATTTTGAGTTGTGTGATCTTTCCAAATTGACTTATGGTTAAGGGCTGAACTATGCTATTAATAATTATTTCATGTACTCTTACCTGAGGCGGTCGTGCAGTACCAGATTAAAATTTTGTATTTGTCATGACTATGGGCAAAGCAAGTCCCATTCTGTTTGAAATGCACTTTATGTAATGCAGTCCCTTTATTCTTAGTTTTATTTATGATTTGTTATGCTTTGAAACTGTTACCCTGTATTCCTAATAAACTGTGTCTATTAAGTCTGTTTGTTTATTTCAGCTACTTGTATATCACTTGATGTCTTAAGACCTCTAAGTGGTTTTCATAAAAATAAAATACAGCAAGGTAAATACTACTATAAAACCAACATAAAATAATACATCAGAAAAGTTGCCCCAGAGGAACGCAGCAGTGCTATATTACAAGTCACAGGATATTTAAGCAAAAGACACGTCTCCAAGAGACCCCATGGTCTGTACTTCTCGAGCCACGCATGGAAGTGAATTCCAGGGAAAAAGTTCCACTCCCAAAAAGAGACAGACCACATGCTGTTGGTCGTGGAATGGCCAGTAAAACCAACTCGGAAAACCTCTGGCGTCAGATTGGTGCGTATGGGAGGGATGGTGAAAGCGGCTTGGGATGCTGGATCTCAGCAGCAGAATGGCGTATAGTAGCCAACAGGCAGCCAGTGCCGTTCTTTTAATGGAGATCCAACATACGCATAACTTGGTACTTCCTCGGACGCGCTTTCTTCGCTGCTGCATTCCACAGTAGCTTCAGCTTCCAAACCAGGGGCAAAAGCTTCCCCACACAGAGCGTATCAGTCCAGTCATGCATAGATCCCAGTGGCTAAGCCTATCCAGGAACAAGGCTGCACACTCTATCCTCCGTCCACCGAAGAAGGAGAACCAAGCTGGTTCTGTGCCGTGATTCTGTCTAATCATCTATGTTGGCTTACGAAAGGTGGAGCTCAATGGCGCTTTGTTTCCGACTGACCTGTGCTGCTGGTCGCCTTCTGTATCAAATACTGGCTTAATCTTTAGATGCTTCCCTTGACCAGTTGAGAAAAGATCCAAAAGAACATTATCTACATGAATTCCAGGCTGGAATTCATACTGGAGGAAGGTGCCAGAACTGAATCTATGCTCCTTTCAGTCAGGCTTCTCTGGCCTGATGCTCCTGAGAAGTTCTGGACTATCAACTGTCATCATCGTACGTTTGAATAGTTTTCTGCAGCAGAACACTTAACATAAAGTAATTATAAAGCTGACAGATTTGTGGGATATATATATATTGGGGCTGTATAGACAAGTATGTTATAATTACTTGGACGGTTTCAGCAATTTAACTGACAGAAACAGGCTTCATTGCTTTCCACTGGTCTCTCATCAATGGCATTTAAACTTTTCCACAAGCAACAGAAGAGCAACCATTGTTGGAAAGCAAATATCCAAGTGTTCATTAGGACAAAAACACCCTAGTAGGTGATGTTGAAAGACACCTTCCACTTCTTAGCAAAAGTCAACATACCTGATTGTTATTCTATATACAAGTTCGCATGTAAATTCCCACATGAGTGTCGGGTCAGAATCTGTTAAACAGGTGCTAGAGCCATTGTTTCTCCGAGGTTTCTCTCTCCAGAAAACCATCCAACAGATACAAGGCCAAACCCGGAGGAAGGTCCTGAATTCAGTGGTATAACACTACATGTATCAAATTAATACCCAGTAGAACCCATTAATCTGCACTGAGTTAAAGAAAACATGTACTTAATGTTTTTCTAGCCCACTACATGTTGTGGTAGTGAAATGTCTCAGAACGAAGAAGTGTTGCATCAGGAGGCCACTTAAGCCTGCTTCCCTGGATCCCTTTTTGTTAGACAAACCATGTGGGACAAGGCCGGGACAAAGAGGATTCCAGTGGCAAAAATCATTTGACTTGCTGAAAGCTGAAAATGCTGTTTGTGCCTGGAAAGAAAATCCCATATGCTAAGATATTTTTTTAAACTCTGCAGGTGATATCTTTCACAGTAGGTCTACTTTTGTGAAAATTCTGCAATAAATGTGTGCCCGAAGTAGGGATGAAATTTCAGGTAGATGAAATCCTAGACAGTATGGAGAACAGCTGGATCTCACATTCAGCTTTCAGCAGTCCTAAATCACCTTCATTCTGTAAAGCATTCTCAATATTATTAAAAATCAACCAAGCTATAGTTTCAGGCCAGTTAAATATCATTGACATCTAAAACATGAGGAGCCATGTAGATTTAGCCAAGCATTTGTGTGATGAGGTTCTATAATTTGCACATGTAATGTGTGTTTCACCTGCATATTAGAGGCTTAGAAAATCTAACATTTTGCTGCGAATGGCTATACAATTACACTGAAGAGACACTGTGCTTCTTAATCCTTGTTGACTGACAGGCCCGCGGTTTAGTCAGTTTCTATAAATTATTTCAGGAGCACTTATCTCTGAAGTGCATACCAAGAAAAAAAGACTTTTCGATTTATGGTGATCTGACCATAACAAGCCATTCATTCTGGAGAATGCCCAAGAACAAATATTAATACCCACCATTTTGGCACCGAGGTCATGGTTTCTACTTTCTGTATGATTTATAGCTTGCATATAAACTATACTGTTTATGTATTTGATTGTTTTAATCTAGGTGCATACTTGCCATAGGATCTGACAACCAGTTGTGATTTATTACTGTATGCGAGGATGACCTACAAGATTAACCCTGCTGATGGAGGAACCTGGATCCATGTTTTACTCTGGCACCTGAGACTTCTGCAGGACAGCCTTGCTAACCAACCATAAAAGCAGAAGGTCAGCACTGAAGAAAAGGCTACTGGCTCTCTCTTTACTTATCTTTGCCTACTTTTAGCTCTACCCTTAGTGGTTAATTTTCCCTAAACCTATGTCCTAATTCTAGGAGAAATAGAGATTCGGCAGTCCCATTAGTTACTTCCTCCAGCCTTCTTAGTCTTGACAGGGAAGCCCTCAGAATTCTAAACAGGAAGAGCTCTAAGTTGGCACGTGTAACATATAGCCAGGCAAACTGAGGTTATACTAAATGCTTGTCCTTTCCTTCAAGTTAAAAAAAAAGGATGAGTATATCTAACTGCTTTTTGTACATTCCTTCCTTACTGTCCTCATCTCAGTTCAGCTGTAATCTTTTCAACTGTTTTTAAGGGAACTGTTTTGGAGGGAAGAATTTTAATTTCTTCTGTAATGTGCTATGATTGTGGTACAGAGTGACCATGAAAGCAATATCATGCCTCAGGCGTATCTTATGAGAGTCATCTCATGAGTGTCTACTCAGGTTAGATATCGAAACAATAAGCTGACCCAAGTTTTGAGTCAGCTTACCGTAGTCCACATGCAAGCAGCTATTTGTAAGTTGCACTGATATCTTGATTAGATGTTAAAAACTTCTCTAACTCAAGTCAGCAGCAGAGTTGCGTAAACAATCAAATTCCAATTTTGCTATATCAGATCGTACTAGTTCTACACAGTCTGTTTCCTTTATTTAGGCTCCACAGGCTCGACAGTGCATATCTGACAAGCCACTCATCCTGAAAATGTGCAGATACCGAGAAATGATTTTGCCCAACAATTAAGTTGCATTGGAATTGGACAGTAAAACAAGTAGCGCAAATGAACGAAGATCCTGTGGTTCTACTTACCCTATGGACAAAACAGTACAAAGATAACTGTAGCTTAGCATTGTGTGTGTGACTTCAAACAACTCTGGTGCAGAATCTCGGGTGCCCGGGATCCTATAGGGCTTTGGAGATCAAAGATCTAGATCAAATGGCGCCATCTAGTGCTCTGAAGGGTCCTCTTGCAAACCTCACCCCTTGAAAGAGAGGAAAGAAGCCACTGAGCTCCTAGCTAGCCTATCCTCTTATTTAATTTTTGATGACTCCCAGGTTCCTAAAGAATCGTCTTTAGTTTCCTGTGCAAAGGGAAAGTTTGCACTCTTCCAACCCCACCACTAGATATCGGCCCAAGACATCATATTTCCTGTTTGAAATCATTCAACAGAATATAAAATACAGCAATGACCTTTTTCCTGTTCTTTCCGTAAGGAACGCTAACCTTTCAACACAATACAAAATAAATAAAAGTAGCTGAAATGCATTACAACACCAGAATGCATAAGAGATGTAATCCCTTGTTCAGGCTCCAGTGCGTAAGCTTGGCCATTAAAATAGATAAAAAGGCAACAATTTATAAGCATCTATCTAATTTACAAGCAGTTTATTAGATTTACCAGCTCTCTGAATTCAGTTGCAAATTGCTACTTTAAATACTGGATAGATGAAATACCAAATGGTACCAATTGCAAATCAGTATTGATTGCCGAAGTTTGGATTAGCATTCATGCCCACAACTTTACATGCCACTGAGAATATATATTATTCCCAAGTACTAAACCTGTCAAAATACTGATCATATAGAGATTGCAGTATACATAGTGCGTCATATAACCTTAATATATTGTAAGCCAGAGAACAGAACCCATCTTTAGTGTTCAGTTCCTGTATAGCACCCAGAATTTTGAAGCACTTTATAAATAAAAAGCATGATAGTGCCTTTTAAGGTGATTTTGGAGCAAAGTTGCAGGAATATATAGTTCTGCTGTTTAAACTCGTAAGAACAGGGTTTTAGGGGCAAAAGCAATTGTGGGCTCATTAAAGTAGAATAATCCCACCCACGCACCCCATACAAGAAAGGAAAAGACCTTGTCTGCACATCTTGTGCAAACAGTTTGATCTTTCAACCTACAGTGAATTCTGAATTGGACAGCATCCTTCATGTCATTCTTCCTTCAGTCCCAAGGTACCTAAGTATCTCTACACAGAAAAGGGGAAAGGCATGGGGGATCACACCAATCACAAAAATAGCAAATCCAAAGAATAGTTAAACAAATGATTCACGTGGCATGGGAGATACTTTCTACTCCAGTAGTACATGAAAAACTAAAATACTGTAATTAGAAATGTTCTCTCCCCAAAACAAGCAAGAGGAGGATGTGGTTCTTCCCAAGGGAGAAGAAACTGATCTATGGACTCCACTTTTCAAAGCTGCTGGACCAGAAAGGGAAAGAGGTGGGGGAAAGATGCACGAGCAGAACAGACCTTACCTGCAGGATGACGCAGGCAGAAACCAAGTAGAGTAAGATGTGTTCCCACTTACCTGTTGGGAACTGTCAGAGGTATACAAGGACATGGAGCTTAAGCACGCTTTG